TCATTACTGCACTCTCTAGCCACAGCTCTTACAACTCTGTTGGGCTCTGGCAGTACTGAGAAACACGTTAATGAAACAGAACAGTATCTGGACCATCTGGGAAGGATATTGTGTCAGGTTGTATGATGAGATACACAGATATCCTTTGGAGTCTGCCAAGAGTGAGACAATAATATGCACGCTTACAATAAAACCCCTGCTTTTGCAAGCAGATAGCAAAACATCAGAGGGGCAAAGAGGTGGAAAGAAAAGCTCACAGTGTGACATGCAGCTGGTCTGTCAGCACTCATGAAAGAAGCTGGCAAATGCTCTGTCAATGTCTTTCATAAAACTTGTCAAGGTAAGAAAAGAAGTGAACACCAGAATGACTGATACCAAAGTGCCTACCTAGGTGAGAGCCAAAGTACCAAAACATTAATCCAGTCCCCAAGGAAGGTACAGCAGCTTGTTCCTGCAGGCAGGAAACCTGGGCAAGCACAGAGTCCAGAAACTTTCACTTAGCTCTTCTCTTTACTAATTGGAACAGTGAGGTTAAGAAAGTTAATTAGTAACCCTGAAAAATGCATCATTAACTAAAAGGCAGCACTGACGCCTTGAAGTCCATCTGTCTTGGGCGCTCACAGTATGGGAGATGATGCTTGAGACGAGTCCGAATCTCAACTGACTGAACTCATTGAGAGTCTCGGCAGCCTCCACAGCAGCACCAGGATGGAGCCGGGGACGACAAGGAGCCGAGTGCTACACGTGCCACGCTCGCACGTAAGAGAGCTGGAAGTAAGTGGGAGGGTTGGAAAGCAGACTGCGAGCAGCAGCTGCATTTGGGAGCTGACCTGAAATCCAATGAAATCTGTGGAAAGCCCCATACTGCAAGCAAAGCATACCTCAGCTCTCATATTACAGTGCTATTGCTGTCACTTACTTGTATTACAGCTGTGTCGACTGATGATGTGACCCAAAGCAGACTAGGACCTATTGCATGGGGTGCTGAGCACAGGCTTAGTAAGAAGTAGTCCTTGCCGCAGGGCTGGCGGGGATGCGGTGGGCGATGGTGATGCCATCCGGGGGGGCCCGGAGAAGGCACATGAGCTGCCGAGGCCACGCAGGGCTGCAGGCCATGATGGGGCAGAAGCCAGGACCCTGCCAGGGCAGGGCTGCCTACTCAGCCCGGCCACCAGTGGGACGTCCACCTGTCCCGAAGGCTCGGGAGCAGCCACCGGCAGCCCCTTCCAGCAGATTGTCAGCCCTGGGGTCGAGGATGAGGTGGAAGCGTATGGAAAAATGCCACCGGAAAAGCAAGAAGTTGCATATGACTCAGGATGTTATTTTACTCCGCAGTTTCCTGGCGATCCAGGCTGCTTTATAACGACACGGCATACCAGAGCAGCCTTCGCGGAGTGCAGAGGAGCAAAGCGGAGCAGGACAGCCCTGCCACCCACCAAGGTCCCCCTGCACTCCCCGCAACAGCCCTCTCCCTCCACATGTTTGGAATAATGATCATAATTAGTTAAAATGTCACCCTTCTGCAGTGCCTTTCATTCACAGCGTTTTATAAGTGTTACCAAACAAAGCTTCCTAAGCCCGCTGCCAGGTAAGAGCAATTGTTATCCCCATTTTATGGCTGGATAAGCAAGGGCCAAGGGAGAAGGGCTGATTGTTCCCAGCCTCACATGAGCGGCCAAAGGGGAAGGGAAGGGCCAGGAAACCTCTCCTGTACACTTGCCGTAGCTCACCTGCAAGCGCCCGGCCTTTCCGGCCCGGGTGCGCTCCCCGGAGGGAGCACAGCAGCTCCAGGCATCACCATAACGCGATACCTACCACTGGGACACGGGGGCTCCCCCAGAGCAACGGGGCACAGGTGCCTGCAGCAAAGGAGCTGCTCACCAGAACAGAGAAACGGCACACGTGGTTGGAAAACCAGTGCGATAGCCGTGTCCTGGCTCCCTCAGGATATCCTATTGCAAGCCACATTTCCAAGCGCTCCTGCATCGCGCTCCTGCCTTCCCTCCTGCCCTGGCTGGGCTCTTTGCAAAGAAGTGGAGTTGCAGACAATTTGTGCAAGGTCACCAGGGAATTTTTCTGTCTGAGGAGTGGTACCGATGAATCTCAGTACTGCCTTCTCCCCTGCCAGCTAGATCACGCCACCTGGGTAGAGTAGAAAGGAACTGTCTTTAAGTGAACAGGCCAAGCCTTTTATTATCTGAAGAAAGGATAATGATCACACTGGAGTGACTGTTCATAGCCAAGCTGTCTTACTAGATTGCTAGCTCCAAGTTTTGGCCCAGATGTTGCAGCATATAAAATCTGACATAAATTTATCACAGAAAAGCTGCCTTTGGGCACTCTTGTGTCTACTGTCAGTAGTGCACACAGTCATTTAACATTTCCTGTGGGCTTCCAGGGTAAACACTGTTTTTATGTAACATACCTACGCACATGCACATATGTGCAGGAGGACTGGGGAACAGTTTTGCTGAATTCTGTGCAGGAAATTAGTCTACCTGAATGCCATGTTGAGTTTCATTGCACTCATATCGCTGCACATCTTGCACAGCTGCGGCCCTCTCTGGCAGACCTCCAGCGCGTGCTTCCTGCAGCAGCTACATGGAAAAGGCCTGCTGCTTGCACTGCTGAGTTCTGCTGCCCTCTCCCTCCCTAAGAGGCTTTAGATGATATAATACATAGCACTGTTTCATTTGCTGCTAGTTTTTCATCCAGGAAGACAAACGATCGTGAAGACTCACTTTGTTTTCCTCCGAGCACAGCCTGCTCCATGTACAGTGAAGATGAATATTCAGGCAAGCCACTCATCTCAAAAAACATCTAGGCACAGTATTTTAAAAACTCCCTGCCAGATACTGTAATGGCAATTGCCACAGAGCCGCCTATAAACAGAAAAAACAAATACAGTACCATTGCGGATCAAGAGAAGAAAGCAATAGTGATGCTTGCTATTCTACAATCACTTTAAAAGCCAAAACAAACCAATCAAAATTGTTTTCCCACTTATCTTTGCATCCTTGTCCCTAGGCTTTTCCCATAAGGTACTTAGTGGAAATTAAAGCAATAGTTTCATATGGATAAATCCATAGAATTGGAAGGAAAATGATCTCCTTTCTCTAGGTGCCCAAATTCTACACCAATCTATGGGGTTTGAAAACCGTGTAGGAAGGAGATCATTTGCTCTTAAATTCAATAGGATTTTTGAATGACGTTTATTCACTTCTACAGAGTTTTTCCGCATGGGATTTCAGAGCCCTTTATACAGGAAGGTGCCCCCTTTTCTCCTCTCCTCTCCTTCCTTTGTACTTGTCCTTTCACCAGCACAAAGGTGAAGTGAACAATAGTATATACTCTGCTTTACATCCCACAACATCCAGGAGGCTGAAGAACAAAGAATAAATACAAGTCTGAGGGGATAAAGACAGAAAGTTCAGCGCAATGGGTAGCTCGGTCTCCAGTGGAAAGTTCTAGTGCGAGCGGAGTAAGGTTCATTTTAAAGCCAAAGAAAATGTGTTCTGAAAATGGGTTCTGATGTGGGTTGGCTATAAAATCCAGACTGAGTCACTCTGCCTCTCTGAGCTGCATTTTCTACAGCTGTAAAATGGGGTTTTGGCCCATAAGCCTGGGTTATGGTTTTATAAGGCATTGTAAAGGACAGCAAGGAAGATAAACAAATAACTTTGCTTTTTTTCATGTGGGAGGGCAGGAGCAAAGACAGAAGGGAAAGAAGCAAATACACTGAGTGGGAGTGTGGGGACAGGAGTTGGGACAATTTATTAATTTGGTTTCCATCTCATTTTGGTAAACAACCTACAGCTGGGTGAATTCTCTTTTTGATCTGTCTGTGCCTGAGGAGTATTTCCTAGTGTTGGGCCCTGGCTGACTGCATCTGCCTGAGGCTGCCTCTGGTTGTCCTGCCTACCAATAGCCTTTCCAGTGGTGGCCACCCTTCTTTCTGCCATCGCAGTGGCTGGCTCTGAGCTGCTTTGCCCCGTGAGAATGTTGGGGATTACTGGGATTTTACAGCCTGCTTTTGTGTCCCAGATGTGCTACGTGAGATGTGCCTTTAGCTCAAGCCTCCAGGTGATCTAACCTCACTAGCTGTAGAGAAGCTCATCTAGCTCATCTAGCTGTAGAGAAGCTGTGAACCCCTATGGATCAGTCCCATCATTGGCACCAGGGTCCTCGACCCTCTGAGTAACCTGTGGACGCTGAACAACTCTGCTGGGCCAAAGTGCCTTCAGCTCCAAAGCATGTGGGGCTGTGGAGCTGTGCTGCCCCTGGTCATGGGGTTTTGGAAGGCTGCTGCCCCAGCTCTCCACTCCTCCACCGCCTGCACCTTTCCCGTCTTGAAGAACGGCCCTGGTAAACGCGCCACCTTGCCTAACCGTTTTATTACAGAAGGGGAAGGAAAACTGCTTTTTCCCTGACTTAGATCCCTCTCTCGAGACCTCTGTGCAAGGTGTGAGGCTGCTGATGTGACCTGTGAAAAGAGGGAGAGAGGAGTGGCACAGATCAGAGCCCCAGCAAAGCTGCATGGGGAAGGCAAGGTCTTGCTTTTGTCCCCTTCTCTCCGAACCTCTGCGAAATCATGTCCTTTCCTGCTGCTATAATCACTGATTACACGCCATTTGCCTGCTGTATTAAAGCTGCTTGCTTAATTAAAATCATTTTAAAGGGCGGTCTTGGCATGAGGGAGACAAGCTGTTTTGAACTCCAGTAAACACATTTAGTATGTGATCATCATAAGCAACTCCTGCAGCCTTGCTGTGGCGAGCAGGCAGAAAGCAACCCGAGTTAATGAACTGTGTTTTAACCACCTGATGCTGGTCAGAGCTTTGATCCATCAGGTCTGAGGGCTGCGTGGAGGATGGGAGGCAGAGCGCTCCTGCACGCTCCTCGGCAATGCTGGAGCTGTTAATCAGGCTGCTCTGCAGTCTGCTGCAGCGCTTGCTTTATTAAAGCTCCCTGCTGCCTGCACACGTTCCCTGGCACAGACAGCGAGAGACAAGCAAACACGCACCAAAGTGCAGAGCGCTCGCTGCTGCATTGCAGAGTTTACTGGCATAGAGTGATGGGGGTAGGTAACCACAGGTGGAGGCTCGGGTCCTCCCTCAGCCTGCCTGGGGCTGCAGTCTCATGGATTTCTCTAATGTGGGATTTGAAGAGGGCTGGGGGCAAAATACACACATTTTGGGCTCTCTTTGCAGCTTCTAAGTGTCTGGATACCTGGCTTTGCTCCGTGGTCTATGCTGCTTAATGTGTTTTTATTCAGGGTTATTCTATAAAACTAGAAATTTATTTTCTTTGAGGTACTCGATGGGGTAAGCGTAATTTTATTTATTATTGTTGTTGTAGACTTACCTCACCTCTGTCAAGAGGCCCTCTGTAAGGATGAGGATGGCATTATGCTGTTTGTTATTGAAGTATTCAGAGTAAATTCATCTCCCCTTTCAAAGAGCTTATGGCCTGAGAATTAAGGACTTTCTGGTTTTCCTATGGGTTGCCTGATATAAAAGCTTGAGCAGGATGAAGTCATTTTCTTATAGTAAACTGTAGGTGATGAATTCAGTTCATTTTTTTCCCCCCAACAATCCCATCTGTGGGGTTATGCTTAGGGTTTTTTGTTTGTTTGTTTATTTTTGTGCCAGTACAGAAATATTTGATTATCCAAATCATTTTTTGAGGTTTAATACCAAATAGCTGGTCTGTTTTGTAACATCTGTAACCACGCTGGATCTGTTGTTTTCAACAGACAGTTCTTCTGGAAGATAGCTGGTGTTTGCTTAAGAATTGTTAGGCTCTTCTAATCTACTGCTATGAATATGCCTGTAGAAATTTAATTATAATAATTTTATTTTTTATGAGCAGCTGATTCAGGATTTCTTGCATACCTGAGGAATATAGGGGGAAACATCTCAGCTGACTTTTTTTTTTTTTTTTTGGAGCAAGGATGGCTCAGATTTCTTCTCCCTATGTGTTTATCAGTGATACAGCGCTGCAGTCTTTGCCTTACTCAGCTTATGTCTAATTGCAGAGTATTTAGCAAAAGGATTAATGTGCAAGTTCTCAGTTTGGAGTTAACCATCCACTTGTACTCAGCTTTATGAACACTGGATCTGTTGTTTTCAACAGACAGTTCTTCTGGAAGATAGCTGGTGTTTGCTTAAGAATTGTTAGGCTCTTCTAATCTACTGCTATGAATATGCCTGTAGAAATTTAATTATAATAATTTTATTTTTTATGAGCAGCTGATTCAGGATTTCTTGCATACCTGAGGAATATAGGGGGAAACATCTCAGCTGACTTTTTTTTTTTTTTTTTTGGATGGAGCAAGGATGGCTCAGATTTCTTCTCCCTATGTGTTTATCAGTGATACAGCGCTGCAGTCTTTGCCTTACTCAGCTTATGTCTAATTGCAGAGTATTTAGCAAAAGGATTAATGTGCAAGTTCTCAGTTTGGAGTTAACCATCCACTTGTACTCAGCTTTATGAACAGACGTCAGATGAGCAGCACTTATAGTCTAATAGAGAGCTATTCGTTTTGGGGCCTAGGGAAAGGTGGGCTTGCGTTAATACGATCCTCAAACTTGTAGTTTGGGAGAGTCTGCAGGTAAGAAAATATTGTAGGTTTCCTTTTAGCAAAAAGCCAGGGTGGTTCAGTGCAAGTGTGACATCCGTGGATGCACTGGTTATTGACAGTCTTCTGGGACAAGCCAGGCAGGAGGCCTGAGTGTCGTGGGAATTAAAGTTCAGTGTTCATACTGCGACTTAATTGTCAACTGTGAACGTTGTCTGGGGGAAACAAACACCTGAAAAGAGCTACTGCAGCTTGATTTCCGGAGCTGCTGAAGATCCCTCCATTCCAATAGAAATTGGTGGGAGCTCGGGGTACCAAGCACTTTCGAAAACAAAATCTTCCTCTCAAGATGAACACTGCAATAGAGAAGCAAAAATGCAATGTTATTTCTCTTCTAACCCTGCACATCTGTTTTCTTATCAATAAAGTGAGGATGATATTTTGCTACCTTTAGGGAGCTTTAAGGGTTAATTAAAGATAATATAGTGCAAGGAAGACTTTGGGAAGTGACACTGTTGTTATGTTCTGAAATTGCTCAAAAATGGCCACTTTCTCATCATTCAAATCCTACTTTAATTCACTTCCTCTAGTGACCCTTTCAGTGTTAATCCTCCACACAGAAGTGTTGCAGTTTAAATTAAAAAGGAAATCTCTATCTCACTAAGCTTAGTCTGCCATCTGATCATGCAGTATTGTTTATGAATAGCATTATCTGTCTAATTTACATCATAAAACTGTGACTTAAGCAAGGCAGAACACACTGTCAGCAGTCAGTAAATAATAATTCTGGTCTAACCAAAATTGCCAATGTTTTAAGCAAAGCTCTACTGTAGGAATGGAGATGTGAGCACATCACACAGTGTCGTACGCGAGGAGGGTTACAGGGACACAGAGACCTCAGTGGGATACCTCATTAAAATGAACTCTCTAAATGGAGTTTGGAATAGCTTCTGAAAATATATGCTCAAGCTCAACCACAAGATATGGATTTGAGGCAGGATTTACTAGATTAAATTATTTGGCTTCTGGTATAATGAAGGCTAGTGGTCCCTGCTGACCTTTAAAATCTATGATCTTGAATGCTGGCAGTGGTTATGTCCCAGGTCACTTGGAGCTCCATAAATCAACAGTTCGCTGAGCTGCAAAGCTACGAACTGCACTGTGGGTCTGCACAGAGCAAACGTTCACACTGGACTGACTAATACGCCGAAATCCTTTCCCAGCAGGCAATGGGATCAGCACAAGCCTTGGCCCAAGGCTCTGGCACAGGTCTCCTCTGAGTTGTTCTTATGGTCAGGTGAAGAAGTAGCTGTTCCAGGGCAATATGAGGGTAAAGAAAAGCAGAAGAAAAACCTCACTGTTTAGATCGTAACAGCACTGACATATCAAGGCAACAAATGTGATCTGGGAGTCGCTGAGCGAGAACAGCACCCTAATGGGAGCACAACAACTTTTTTCAAATTGCTGTCAAATTTTTAAAACATTGTGGGAGGAAAGCACTGGGGGAAAGAAGAGGAGAGAGAAACTGGATCTTATATTTCTTACTAGAAGGACAAGAAGAGAGACACAGGATCTGTGTCACACTGTAAGCTCTTTATCTCAAAGCAAGGTGAACCACACCCGCCATAAATTAAATATTAATGCATCGAATCATGTCCAAAAGCACATAAAGCTCAAGGGACATCTTATGATACCCTTTGAAAACAAGACCTAATTTAAGTCGTTTGCATACCCTGTTACCCAATCCTGCAGAATAGCATCAGTGGGTTAATGTGCTGCTACCACTAGACTCCCCTGAGGTTATCAGAAAATCCTATTCAGCGAAGTGTTGGCCCTGAGTTTAAGTGCCTGGTCAGGGAAAGCCAGATCAAACTATGTAGTCTTAACTGTGACCCAGTCTGGAATGCACTGAAGTGGCAGCAACCCTTGGTAGAAAGAAACAGTAAATTGATTTTGGTGAGAACCTCATCAATCACTGATCACTGTGACCCGTGGATCATTAATCTCATTAAAAAGTTCAAGCTCATGGCAGAAGCAATAACAGGCACACAGGAAGGATGTAAATTAGATATGCTTTCACAGATTTGAATGGGGCTGACTTGTATCCCTGAGGAAAACTCCATTTCTTAATTGGGGAAACTCTTCACTGACTCTAGCTGAACTTCAGCCATTTACTCTGTGTCGGATATTGTCTTTTAGGCCCGTGGAAGGTATCTGGCCTGTTATTGAGCTGTGTTTGTGATACCGCATTAGGGAAGGAAGAGCCAGATCAATGGGCCAGATAAATCACCTCTTAACATGTTAGTCTTTCTGACAACGGACCTTTCCCGCCTGAGCTCTTCAGGAGAGATGACTGGCAAATAGCCATTTGGGAGCAGCCCCAATTTTCTGCATTTCTGTGAGTCCCAGGGAATATAGGGAGAGTATATTGTTTTGGTGGATGAGATACGCCAAACAGCAGAGAAAGCCAGTCCATGTTGGTCCTTTTAGCTGTGGCAGAGCTCATTGTATTATTGATCTTAAGGTTTTGTTGTCTTCAGCATGGGCTTTGCTATTAAAAAGGGTGAAGAGTGAGCAGTCTTACTCTTTTCTGTTAGATGCCAGAATTTGGGAGGGGTAATTGCTAAATGTCACCTGGATTATTTCTTGTCACTACATATGCTCAGCGTGTGGCCAAGCTGCAGAGAGATGCAGCCCTACAAGATGGTGAGAGCTGACCTAATCGCTCACTGCCACTGGGGGCAGAGGTCCCATTCTCCTCCTACTTCTCGCGTTCCCAGCTGTGTACACCTGCCACTTACCTTGTGTCTGATCTGGCACTTGTCAGACCCATCTGTGACACAGCTATTTGCTAATCCAGAAGAAACCTAACCCAGAAAAAATAAAATGGATAGTTTTCTCCTGGCTTAAGGAGTTGTATGAGCTCATGAGTGGGACCGATGAATGTCCAGACCAGTACAAGAAAGGTGGGGCGGGGGAATAGTGAATGGTCAGGAACAGGAATGCAAAGAGGAAAGAAATTTGAGGAGTAGCTGGGTTGCAATACGCAACCCTTGGCAACAACGCATAGTTAAGATAACTCACCAGCTTGTGGAACAACAGCCTATGAGGCAGTGGACTGAAATGTCATCATTACACAGATGATGCACAGGTCAGTAACATATTTCCGTTGCATCGAATCAGTCCAGGGTCCCAGTTTTCCAGTGACAAGATAAGCAAACCAGTGGAGTTTAAACCCGGACAAGGTGTTGTTAGTCAACTGACTAACAGCAATCATCTATGCTACAACTATGTCACTGCACTTCTTAGCTCCCATCTGCAGCAAGTTAAATAGCTACCTCTGCTAAGAAACCTGGGGATATTTGGCAGGGCTGTTCTCTCAAGGATCTGCACACTACAGACCCTGCCTACACAGACCTGGGCACATCCACTCCTTCCACCCAAGATGTTTTTTCAGTGCTCCGAGGCTTTGTAACCACGCACAGTGCTACATGGGTACA